CCAGCTCAGCCCACCAGGGGGCGGGGCTGGCTGGCATGTGGTGCTGGGGGATTGAACCGCGGTCCCTGTGCTTTGCCAAGCCTGCTCCAAGTAGGTGCTTTAGACCACTGAGCCATCCCACCAGCCCCTACATTTTCTTTATCACATATCTGCCTACTATTTCTCTACTTACAATTACTCCTATATACTACTGTTTTGTCTGTATACTTGTTTGCTTTTGTGAGGTACTTGGTCCTTGAGATTGAACCAGGATTTCCCCCATGCTAAGCATAAACTCTACCATGAGCTACTGCCCCAATTCTATTTGCTTTCTTTAATTGTGATCTGTGCACAAAGCACACTGATTTTTTATGATGTGGAAGCTAGCCTGCCAACAGATAGAAGATAGTTGTAAAGGTTGAGCCTTGAGGATGGAAGTAAAGATTTTGATTAGTTACTGGAAATAAGAGAAAATAGGTGGAGCATGAGAAGTGTTAGGGTTTGCATCTAGATGTTCCCCCAAACCCCAAAACCATTCCTCCAAGTGCAGTCATAGATGGAGCTTTTGGAGGTAGCTTGATCTAGGGTGTAGATTAAGTATGATGCTGGGATTAAGTGTGTGATTCTGAAATTAAGTGTGTGATTTGGGGGATTAAGGTTATAATGCTGGGTTTCAGGGTACCCTATCCTGAGTGTGAGTGCCACTTATCCTAAGGATACGTAAAGTGGATGGAATAGAAGAGGATATAAAGAGGGCTTTTATTGTCACTTGCTGCTTCCGTTGTTCGATAGGCTGCTGCCAGCATGGACTATTTCTCCGTTTTGATGATCCTCTGCTGTGCCATCCTACCTCAGAGCCAGCTGACTGCGCCGAATCCTCCACAAACTGTGAGCTAAATAAACCTTTCCTCCTTTAATTTGTGAGTGTTGGGTATTTTATCTCAGCCACAAGAGGCGTAACTAAGACAAAAAGATTATGAAATAGTGAAGCAGAAGATGAACATACTTTTGAAATGACAGCTATGTGCATATTCATGGAATGATTTTCACCAGTCCGAATAGACATGGAAAGGCTAGTACCTTAGCTACATTTCTCATCACTGAGTCAAAATATCTGACATCCAATATTAAATGAAGAAAGTATTATAGTTTATAGAGATGACCAGCTGGTATCAAAGCAGAGTGTCATGGCAGAGGGCATCGCAGAGGAAAAACAGTTCATGATGTGGCAGGTAGGAAGGCAGCAAACATCTAGAGTAGCAGGAAGCAGCAGCAGCAGCAAGTCTGTCTTCACTCCCACCCTTTGTATTCCATGCAGACTATCTGCCTATTGATAGGTTCCTCTCACATCCAGTGTGGGCCTTCCATTATCCACACCCAGAACTATGCCAATTCTAATCAATGAACTATTTCAGTGCCACATACCCTTAATCCCAGGATCATACACTGTAGATTTAGCCAACTCTGAAAAATCATAGCCCGTGAGTGCATAAGACTCTGGGCGATCTAAGTACAAGGCATAACAACTAGATAGTTCAACTGAATGCATATTAAGTAAGTGTTATGAAATGATTATGAATGAACAAAGTAGAGGATGCTGGAAAGAGAATTAGCAGTGACGCAGTGGGTTTCTCATTTGAAGATATATGCAATCAAAGATTAAAGAAAATGTTCAGCTTTGGGGGCGAGGAGGATTCAAATGGGAAATAATTTTATATTGTTATCAGACCATGGGAATGATGGCAGTAAGAGGGTGAGAAAACTTGAAGGACGTGAGGCTTTAATCATCACCTTTAATAATTCTAACAATGGACAGCAATAACTTAAGATGAAGCTAAGAACATGAATTAGTGTTATAAATTCAGTCATTGAAAGAAGCAGAAGTTGAAGAAGTTGGGGTGCTAGGATGCTTAGACATTCAAGTTTCTATAAAGTGATACATGTTTGAACATCGAGAGCCAAGCCTCAAAGCTTTGTGCAAGAAGTAGATTAAATCTTGGCTGAGACAGGAATAGTATCCAGGAGAAATTCTAGGAGATTTCCCCCTATTTATGCACGGTGTTAAGACACACTTGCCTCTGCCTTTCTGCTTTAGTGTATATTTATTCCAGGTTTGTTTTTGAGCTGCTGCAACAATCTTGTAACAGCTGAAGAAACGAAGAGAATTGTCAAGACGGCACTTCAGGACTCCAGCATGCTCAGCTGCAGCAACAGTCACCTAAAATGACTGGAAATGTTAGAGATCAAAACAAAAACCTTTCATTCCACCTTCCATTCTACTCACTAAAGCAAGTTACTGGCTACAGTATGTGTAAGATTTCCCAGGCAATAGATAACACATTTTTTTTTAAACCTCTAAGCAAGCCAGAGACACTTGACTAGTGATGTCTAGCAACTGGCATGAGCACCAGAGGAATCACAGTGCCATCCGCCACATGTGTTCTTACAACAGCTTCCCTAAGCCCCTTGCAGGTTTGACAGGGCACCTCATGGAAACTTCCAACTCTCTGCTTGTAAATGAAAGAGATAAAGTTCATGGAAATTGCATGACTAGAAGAGGTACTCTTTTATACATATTTCCTTTCCCTGACCTGGGATAGCCTAGTCTGAGAAGAGAGTCAAGCTAATAGGCTTAACAACTGATGATCTTAATGCTGCAAAAGGGTTAAATTAGTTAATTATAGCGAGTTCTTTTATGAATCATTATTTGAAGTTTTATATTTTGCTTTTCACTTAAATTGACCTGAAAACCTGAGGGATATCATTAAGAATGCTGAGGGGGCCCGGCGTCCCGGTGCTGAGGCGCTGGGGCCTGCTCCCGGGGGCCTGCCACCCCCTATTGCTCGGGTCCCCCCGCGCTTCTCCAAAACCGAGCGCCGCGCCTCCTCGCCCCGCTCTCCCGTGCCAGGCGTTAAGGGGTTTGCGTTGCCTCCAGGGAGTCCACTTTCAGCAACTGGCTCTACAGGGGGAGACTGACATCATTTTCCCAATGGCTATGTTCAAAACCACCTAAAGGGTTTGAGAAATTCTTTGAGAGGAATGGAAGAAACACAGAATCAGAAAAACCAGCAGCTCCAAGAGAAGGTGAAGCTTTACATCTGAATGTTTTGGAAGGGCTCACTAATTTTGGCTTCATCTTCCTGGGATGTGACAGAAACTGGTAAACCAAAGAATGCTGGGTCTGGAGGAGGTGGCGGCAAGAGAGGAGGAAAAGGGGGTGATTTTGCCTGGTGGAAACAGATACAGAAGGGAGAGTTTCCCTGGGACGACAAGGATTTCCGAAATCTGGCCATTTTGGGGCAAGCGTTGCCACGGGAATTTTCTAGTTCTATTTTCGAGATCCTGGTAGAGATCACCTGGAAGCATTTTGTGCAGTATTACCTGGCCAGAGGCCTGGTGGACCGGCTGGAGGTCGTGAACAAACAGTTTGTGCGGGTTATTCCTGCCCCGGGGACCTCTTCTGAGAAGTTCGTGTGGTTCAACATCGGCAGTGTCGATACCTTTGAGCGGAACCTGGAGTCTGCACAGTGGGAGCTGGGCATTGAGCCATCCAACCAGGCCACAGTGGTCTACACCACGGAGAGTGATGGCTCTTTCCTGTGAAGTCTGGTACCCACCCTTCTCCTGGTTGGCATCCTCTATGCCGCGAGGAGGGGCCCTATGGGGGCCGGGCCCAGTGGGTGAGGAGGAGGCCTCTTTAGTGTTGGTGCAGCGACAGCCAAGATCCTGAAGAGCAACGTCCCCGTGAGGTTGGCAGACGTAGCTGGCTGCAAAGAGGCCAAGCTGGAAATTATGGAGTTTGTGAATTCCGAAGAACCCCAAGCAGTATCAGGACTCAGGAGCCAAAATCCCAAAGGGAGCCATGCTCACTTGTCACCCTGGTACCGGCAAGACGCTTCTCGCCAGAGCCATGGCTGGGGAGGCCAGCGTGCCCTTCATTACCGTGAACGGGTCGGAGTTCCTAGAGAGGTTTGTTGGTGTTGGGCCAGCAAGGGTACGTGACACGTTTGTAATGGCCAGGAAAAATGCACCTTGTATCTTATTCATTGATGAGATTGATGCCATTGGCCGGAGCGAGGCCGTGGACACCTTGGGGGGGGGGGGGGGGCAGAGTGAGCAGGAGGACACTCTGAACCAGAACCTCGTGGAGATGGATGGATTCAACGCTACCACCAATGTGGTGGTGCTGGCCGGCACCAACCGCCCTGACATTCTCGACCCAGTCCTGATGCGCCCTGGCCGCTTTGACCGCCAGATTTCTATTGCTCCCCCTGACATCAGAGGCAGATCATCTATCTTCAAGGTCCACCTGCGCCCACTCAAGCTGTCTGAAAACCTCAGTAAGGACGCCCTGGCACGGAAGCTGGCAGCCCTCACTCCAGGCTTCACTGGTGCTGACATTTCCAACGTGTGCAATGAAGCCACTCTGATCACAGCCCGCCACCTGAGGCCTTCTGTTCAGGAGAAGCACTTCGAGCAAGCCATCGAGAGGGTCACCAGAGGCCTTGAGAAGAAGACCCAGGTCTTGCAGCCCAGTGAAAAGCCGACTGTGGCCTACCATGAAGCTGGACATGCGGTGGTGGGCTGGTTCCTGGAGCACGCAGACCTCCTGCTGAAGGTGTCCATCATCCCCCGGGGCAAGGGCCTCGGCTATGCGCAGTACCTGCCCCGGGAACAGTACCCATACACGAGGGAGCAGCTCTTTGACCGCATGTGCATGATGCTGGGCGGCAGGTGGCTGAGCAGCTGTTCTTCGGGCGGATCACCACGGGGACGCAGGACCACCTAAGGAGAGTCACACAGAGCGCCTGTGCACAGATCGTGCAGTTTGGAATGAGTGAGAGGCTGGGCCAGGTGTCCTTTGACCTCCCACAGCGAGGCGAGGCCCTGGTGGAGAAGCCCTACCGTGAGGCCGCGGCCCAGCTCACTGATGAGGAGGTTCGGAGCCTCATCAGCTCTGCCTGCGATCGCACTCTCGAACTGCTGACTCATGCCGGGAGCAGGTAGAAAAGGTGGGCCAGCGGCTTCTCAAGAAGGAGGTACTTGTTTGTAAGTAGGATCACAAGTCTGCATCTTGTACAGCAATTAACCACTAAGAAGAATATATGCAGTGTATTATTTGTTGAAACTGTACTTTCGAT